TATATATATATGTATTTATTCACAGTTACTTTATAATCAGTAAACTCTTATAGCACTTTATGAATAACACTTTATGTATATTGTTCGGTTATAAAAATTTGACTTGCAACTTTCCAGAAACATATCTGAACATCTGTGGCACTTGGTATCTTTACCTCTCATTTGCCACTTATTACATTATTTTTGGTTTGCTGGATCATATATGCATACAACCCATCTTCCTGGTTAAAACATACATTCTGATGTTTCTAGCTCCTTATACACAGCAGGTCTCAATAAATATTTGAGTGACTCATAATGAAACAAGTTATACTGAGCTGTCTAATTAATCCTTTACTGACCATATAAATACTTTCCATTATCTTTTTCCCCCCCTTGTGATTACACACTAAAATAGTGATGGTATATGAACTGCATTTGATGATTAGAGTTCTTTGAACACTTGACTTGCTCCTTCGTGCCTTTGCTTTTCCCTTACTGAATTAAAGGGCAGAAGCAGCATGAGGTATTGTGGACTGTGAATAGGTTATAGGCTTCAGATGAAGCTCTGAAGTGTGTTCTCATAGCAGGTGTGTTCTTGCCTTGATGAGGTCAATGTGGTGAGGCCCGGGGCTGTCGTGGAGGCATGTAGCACAGCAGCGAGAGGATGCTCACCTGTGCTCACTTTGTCGTTGGTCCCAGGTGACTGTGGAGGAGGTCATGACCACAACTGCATATTTGGACCTTTTTCTGCGGAGCATCTCCGAGCCAGCACTACTTGAGATCTTCCTCCGTTTTATCCTGCTGCATCAGCACGAGAATGTCCACATCCTAGATACTCTCACGAGCCGAATCAACACCCCATTTCGGGTAAGGAGAGCCCCAGAGGAAGGGAATTGATAACTCCGAACAGATTTCAGGGGAGTTGGTTTTTGGAATAAGATAATAAATATTCTCTTCTCCCCGCCACCCCCACCCCGCTTTTTCTTGCAGCCATTTTTTTGTTTGTTTTGGGACTACATAATGCATTTTGCTATTACTAGTCCTTTTGTTAGGGAGGTGGCACTTACTTACTGCCTTTCAGAGGACATTTTTCTCAGTTTGTATGGGTTGGCACTTTCTTCTGTGGAACTAGCAGAATGCGCTTCTGAGGAGGCACAGTGCAGGGGAACATATTGATCCAAGCGCAGGTAAAGCCAAAACAGCAGAGTGTATCAGGTTTGGGTATGAGAGATCCTATGTCTGCCCATGAGTGTTTTGAAATGGAAGTCTAGGCAGTTGTGAATTTAGGTAGTCATTCTTTAGTTTGGAGCTCAGATCAACTTTGAAAATCCTCTTATACTATTTGCAACCCCTTCCCCAAAGGCTATCTTATTTAATTGAAATTATTGTTTTAAAAGTAAAAGAATAATAATTTATTGAATTTGTAATATGTATAACAATAGCACAAAAGGGGGTTAGAAGGAATAGAGCTATATAAGAGTAATAGTTCTATATTTTACTGGAGCTAATTCAGTATAAATCTGAAGTAGTGTCTGATAAGTTCAGATGTATATGGTAAGGCCTACAGCAACCACTAACAAAATAAGTTTTTAAAAAAGTGAAAATCATTACAGGAATAAAAATGTGACACTAGGAATAATAGTCACTTAATGCAAAAGAAGACAGTGAAAAAGGAACAGGGGAACAGAAAAACCTGAGACATATAGAAAACGAAAAGTAAAATGTCAGACATAAATTGAGCTATATCAATAATATTAAGTGTGAATAGATTAAAACATTTAATCAACAGGCAGAGATTGTCAGACTGGATAAGAAAAGATCTGCAGGAGATACACTTTAGATTCAAAGATACTAATGGATTGAAAGTTAAATTCCTAAACCTGAACTGAACCAAATAATTGACAGCGTATATAGAATAACCTTTAGAAATAAGTTAAGCTTATGCAACAATACACTTGGCTACTAGTTTATAGAACTTCAGTGTTGGTCAAAGAGTATAAACTTCCAGTTATAAGATGACTAAGCTCTGGGGATGTGAATCATGGTGACTTTGGTTAGCAGTACTTTAGTATGTACATTATTGCCATAGTAACCCCTGCAAATCAATGTCTAGGGTGCTTAGCACGGTATGTTTGTCTTCTTATTATTGAGTTGTAGGAATATACATAGAATGTGTATTGGGGCTATCAGTTGTCCTATCGGATTTGACTAGAAAGCCTAAGCCTGGAATTATGCCACCGCGAAGGGTCACCCTCCTAAAAAATGCTTGTGCTCCTATTTCCAACTTTTTAAGATCCAGACACAATCGCCCCTACAACTCTCCAATGCACACACCCCGAACAGAGAAGGAGAGCCTAAGTTACTTAAGTGGCCTGATAGAATGGTCAAAGCTTACTCCCCGAAGGGCATGGTGAGTTTATAATACACCTTTGAGTATCTTCCCTGCTTGGTTATTATTTTTACTTTTTGGAAATCAGACACTGAAAGAAGTTGCTTTTTTAATGAACTTAGAAAAGTATATTATCACACCCTCAGCACTACTGGAAATGGGACCAAGGAGAATGTCTGCCCCAAAGCCAAGAGAAGCTGAGGCTTGGAGCTGAGAGCGTTGCAGGGAGAGTTGGCAAGGGTACCTGCAGTTTCCTGTTAGCCTGTCTTGTAGATAACCAATGTCATATTTGAAAATAACTTAGGAAAACAAGGGACAACCGGAGGATCGCTTGCGTGTGGGTGAGGCAATACACTTAGCTACTATAGTTTATAAAACCATACAGTGTTGGTCCAAGAGTACATGTTGGAGTGTGTATGTATGTGCACACCTAGCATACATGTGCATTGGTGAGTTATAGGGGCGGGTTTCTCTGGATCTTAAAAAGTTGGAAATGCGAGCATAGGTGTTTTGTAGGAGGGTAATTCTGCGTAATGGCATAATTCCAGGCATAGTCTTTCTTAGTCAAATCCAGAGAACTGATAACCTGAATACGCACTCTCGGCAGCAGCATTGTTCTTTTTTTTTTTCCCCCCCATATCAAAACTGCTAAAGAAAAGAGGCCATTTTATTTTGTAATCCTCATTTATTTACCATCTGTGGGGAGCAGAGCTGTCCTTCCAGTATCTGAAATAGAATGTGTGTTTATTGTTCCCCAGCTCTGTGTGGTGTCCCTGGCATTATTCAGAACTCTCATCGGCTTACACTGTGAAGATGTGATGTTACAACTAGTTTTAAGGTGAGTTGCCATCTTTTGTTCCCTTTAAAGGAAAACTCACTCTATACTGTTGCTAGGTTGGTTTTCTTTGGTAATGTAAGCTAAGTAGGGGCCATGCTTTTAAGGAAAAAAAATCAAGAAAATCAATTTAATTTCTGCATTATTTCCCAAGGTTAATTTTAGTTTTACTATTAAAAGTTTTTAGGGGGCCAAACCAATTGTGTCATAAATCTACTCCTAGAAAGAATAGATAGAATGTTTGGAAATTTTCAAAAGTATAAAAGCTCTCTAGTTTGTGGCTGAATGTTTCTCCTGAAGTACGATTTTAGGGGACCTGGGTCATTGAAAACAACTTTTCCAAATATGAAATGCTGTTGATATATAATTTCTATGACTCTAGCTTTGGTAATGGTACACATACAGTGTGCTCTCTCTGAGCTGTATGTTTCAATTAAAATCAGTAAGTATTTAATGAGTACTTTGTATACAGTTCAGAAAGTGGACGGGGGTGGCAAGGCTGGAGCAGACGAATTGAAAAGGACTTGCATATGAGGTAGAAAGGTATGTCTTTCAGAAGACAGGTGGGAATGTTTTCATGAAATGGTGGTATATGAAGACAGGTGTTGGGAGTTAAAGTGGACTGCCATTAAGATGACATTAATTTGTTCTTTTGGCCAGGGGACTAAGAAACCCCAAACCCCTCCCTGGCCCTGCTCTGCCTCTCTTTCTGGGGTCCCTGAGGGCAGCAGCTGCTTTTGTAAAGGAAGAGAGGGAGAGGTGGCTGGGGTGTATGCTCTCACACCCGCCTCTGGTGGTGCAGAGGCAAAAAGGAGAAGCCCATTAGGGTCCCCGGGCTTGCCCTCCACCTCCCCCCTTCTCACTGGACTTCCTGGCTCTTCCTTTGATCCTCTTTGGGAATCAGGGTGGGAGAGGCCAAGAGCTGGGGATGAGTGAGGACACTTGGGCTACCCCCAGCCTCCATGGGGGTTTTGACAGAATGTAAGTAGAATGACTGGGGAGATGACATTCCAATGGACGTAGCAGCATTTCCTCACTGGTAGCTCGAAAAATAAGGGGATAGCAGTGTCATCGTGGGAACGGCGGCAGTGACGTGGCCCGGGAGCTAGTTAGAAATGTACAACCTTGGCCTTCTCTCAGACGTGCTGACTCAGAAACTCTGGGGGATGGGTGTGTGTTGTAACAAACCTTCCGGGGTATTCTGATGCCTGGCTGAATGTAAGAACCACTGGTTTAGGGAATGGTGCAGTTGCCGTGGTAGCATCCTGCAAGACGGAGGGATAAAACACCAGGCTGGAAAGGTTGGTGGTCGCATCATGGTGGAGGGAGGCTTCACAGAGTTATCCTTTTATGGGAGAGTGTCATCTATTCACTTTCTAAGTTTAAAAAGAGTTTTTGGACTTTAGAGGGGTTTAGATCAGGTCCTCAGTAACTAATATTAAGGCTTTAGCAAAGACTAAATCCTATCCTAAAGAAATCCTTTGGGTCTTCTGGGTAGAGCATTAGTTATCTGCCCTAAAAGGATTACTTGAGCTCCCCATCAAGCCTCTACTGATATGACAGAATGCATTAGCAAGGCCTGAATGAAATCCTTCAGAGAGCTTGTTAAAGCCTTTTTTTTATTGCCAAAAACCAGACTTTGCCTCCAACAAGGGTAAAACCTGATTATATTTAAATGTTAAATTCTTGAAGACTGCTTCTTTGATGGTGTGAAAAGCAGCTGTCTCTCTCAGAGTGCGTGGAAGCCTGGCCCTGCTCAAGAGGTACAGAGCTTCCCCAGGCTGGGTCACCAGGTCACTTTAGCTCAGGCGGTGCAAGCTGGCTGTTCAGTGACCTTTACAAGGTGAACTCTCTGCACCTTTGGTCTGCTTAGACAGAGGTGTTTGTTCAAAACTGTCCTTAGAGATCATATGAGTTAAGACTTCTTTTGAGGCCAGACCAGTACCTTATGAAGGTGAAGAAGTCAGCTCATGGTTGAAATATTTACATGTTCAAGTCAGGGCTAGTCATTTCCAGGTGAGTCAGGACTCGTAATTTCCCAGGAAAGTGATTGAAGGGCACATTGTCATAGGTTCTGAGTAGAATAATGGGGAAAAAAATGCCAGATATAACCTCTTGGTCCTACCCTCTCTTTCTTCTTTGTTGATATTGTTGTTTTTGTTTTTTTTTTAATGAGGAGGATGGTGATGATACTATAATAATAAAATATTAATAGTTGCCCTTTATTAAATACATTCTCTGTTTCTAATTCTATCATATTGCCTGGGGGATTCCATGAGAAGAGAAAAAAAAAAAAAGCTGGGCATGTGGTAGGCATCCAGGAAACCTCTACTTCCTGGTCTCTGTCCTCTGAACACTGATCCAACCCCCCGACATTTAAATATTATTTTTAATTGTGGGAAAAGGCACATAACATACAATTTACTGCCGATAACGATTGGGTTGTTGGAAAAGTCATGACGTATTTTTTCTATGTTTTTCGTTGCAAACATGTGTCATGACTTTTCCTGCAACCCAGTATTTTTAAGTGTACAGTTCAGTGGTATTAAGTGCATTTGCATTGTTGTGCAGCCATCACCACCATCCATCTCCAGAACTATTTTCACCTTGCAAGACCAAAACTCTGTATTTATTAAACAATAATTCTCCACTTCTCCATACCCCCAGCCCCTGGCAGCCACCATTCTACTTTCCGTCCTGTGAATCTGACCTCTCTAGGTGCCTCATATAGTGTTCGTCTTTTTGTACTTGACTTACTTCACTTAGCATAGTGTCTTCAGGGTTCATCCATGTTGTACCACGTGCCAGAAGTTTTTTTCCTTCTTGAAGCTGAATGATATTCCATTGTTTATACCACATTTTGTTCCATTCATCTGTCAGTGGACATCGTGGGTTGCTTCCACTTTTTGGCCGTTGTGAAAAATGCTGCTATGAACACGGGTGTACAAATATCTCTTCAAGACCCTGCTAGCACTTCTTTGGGTATATGCCCAGAGGTGGAATTGCTAGATCATATAGTAATTCTATTTAAAATGTTTTATTGTTTTCCGTAACAGCTGCACCATTTTACATGCCTATAATAGTGCACAGGGTATCTAGTTTCTCAGTGTTCTTGCTAACACTTGTTAATTTCTGTTAAGAAAATGGACATTTTAATAATCAAGCAAAAATGACAGGTAGATTTGAGGAAGAACCAACTAGAGCTCTTAAAAATAGAAACTGTAATTATCAAAATGAAAACGGAGTGTTTGGGGTAAATAGCACTTAAGACAGACTAAGAGAGAATTAATGAGATGGGCACTAGACTTAAAAGGGGATGACTTCCCAAAGTGTATAACCACTACGCTGTATATCTGAAACTAATATAAAATAATATTGAATGTCAAATATAATTTAAAAATACTCATGGGGATATATAGGACAGCATAGGGAATAGAGTCAATAATATTCTAATAACTGTACAGTGTCAGATGGGTAATAGACTTATTGGAGTTATCACTTTGTGAGGTATATAAATGTCTAATCATTATGTTGTTTTGTATACCTGAAACCAATAAAAAAAGAGAGAATTAATGAACTAGAAGCTAGACTGAGGAAGTTACTAAGTTTGTAGCAGGAAGAGATAAGGAGATTAAAAAGTATGAAAACAGGGCTATGAACAGTGGAGGCTAGAATGATAAAAGTGTAACATATCCATTTAGAGCCCCAGAGGGAAAATGAACTGCTGATTTGGCTTGACCTATTCTGATTTTGAAATTTGCTACCTCATAAGGTTCTTGGGAGGATCAACTGTGGTGATTATCTGTGAAAATGTTTTGAAATGCTATAAAGTATTACACCAATTTGAGGGAGTGGAATTTTCTGCAAAATACATTTTAAACTAATGAAAACAATGTCTGTCCTGATTTAGAATCTGTAATCAAACGCAAGGACAATGAAAAAGTCCTTACTCAGCCAGTTATTTAAACTTTATTTTAAGGGACATAAAAAGATAGATTTGTAATCCATCCTTTTTGTTGTTGCCATTGTTGTCATTGTAATGCCCATGATAAGTTTATAGATCTGAGAGGCAGTAGAGCAGTGAAGAGTATGTGAATCCTCTTAATGAAGTTGTTTATGTGATAAATAAATAACTGCACATCAATTTTTGTTGCAATCCAAATACTCTTAAATATTGACATTTCAAAGTGATAATCCATTTGCAACTGATATGTTTCTTTCATTTAGCAAAGTAAATCAGAAAAGTAAGTTAAAATAAGATATTCCCCAAAGAGAGGCTATTTTAGTGAGCAGAAAACCAAGGAGAAACTGTCCACCTCCATGGATGTGACATATGATAGGCGAATGGCGGGCAGGACATGCTGACAAGCAGTGAAGTGACAGATTACCCCCATGTTCCTGGTACCTCCCAGTTTAGGCAAAATTTAATTGCTTAATACTCTGCCGTCTATGAACATCCTGGCTAGGGTGTTTTTTTTCAGAAGTGCTGGTCCACTGTCAGCTTTATGAACTGCATTGCCTGTCGTGTTCAGACAAAGGCTGTTTTGCTCAAAGAGAAGCTGTGTGTACACGTCAGGGACATTTCCATCTTGTTTGGGAGTTAGGTAGGTGTCTGAGGAATTGATTGTTCAAACTCCCCTAGGGTAGGACGAATAGGAGAAATATGGCCAGAGTATTTTTTGAAAACCAAACGATCTTTTTGAAATTCACTATCGTTGCTTTGTAGATTTTTGCTGCATGGTGCATTATTCAGGTTCTCATCATCTCATAAAAAGCACCTCGCTTACCTCATTGTACTTCACTGCTTCATTGTGTTTGTTTTTATTGTCAGTGTAGCAGTAGGCAATGTGTGCTTTGTTATCGACGGGCTGTCACTGAGTTGTTTTGGAAGTGATGATGATTTATTTGAATGAGTGATAGCCAGAAAATACGAAATAGACTCAGGGTTGCAGACAGTTGGGGAAATAATACAAAGAGGGAGGACAATATGGACAATATGTATTTTTTTTCCTGCTGTATTGAGGGATGACTTTGAGTAATCTGGACTTCTGAAATCAGGTAGTTATTACTTTCTGGTTATTTTTACCACGTTCTGAATTTAAATAAAACCCCTAAACAAAATAACTGTAGTATAAATGGAAAGATAGTTGGATGACAAACACCTATACTAAACTCCTCAGTGATTTTTTTTCTGCTATCGACAGCTACTTCATTTTGGTATTTGACATTTGGGGAGCGTCTGACATGTGTTCTGGGTTTTAAAAAAATTTTTTGTTAAAGTATAGTTAGCATACAATATTATATTGGTTTCAGGCATACCACATAATGATTCTACAATTATATATCTTACGATGTGATCACCACACTGAGTCTCGTAACCACCTGTCACCATGCAAAGTTATCACACCGTCTTTGACTACATTCCTCTTCACCTGTTTCTACCCATCCCCATGCCACCCCCCCCGATAACTATTAGTTTGTTCTTTGTCTCTATGAGTTTGTTTTGTTTGTTCATTCTTTTGATTTTTAAAAATATTCCACATATAAGTGAAATCATATGGTGTTTGTCTTTCTCTGACTTATTTCACTCAGCATAATCCCCTCCCTCTAGATCCATCTATGTGGTCACAAGTGGCAGGATTTCATTCTTTTTTATGGCCAAGTAATATTCCACTGCATATATGTACCACATCTTCTTTATCCATTCATCTATTGATGGACACCTAAATTACCCATATCTTGACTATTGTAAATAGCACTGCAATGAACATTTATTTTGTTTCTTATCTTTCCCTATAAATGATGGAAAGATAGAGGGTCAATGTACAATTTTCCTGCGCTTTCCTCTGGGATAAGCCTTCATTGTAAGAGCACAGTAGAAGTACTGCATTGACTACAAGGAGGGTTATTCATTTGAGCTGACGCCCCTATTTCTACTTTTGTAGAACCTCTCCTTCAACCTGTAGGGACTCTCCCTTTATTTGATTTACTCACTAGAAAATCCTTAGTCTCTGCTGAAAGTATGTGTTTGCAAAGTTGCAAATTCCCAATAACTCCTTATTCTAAGGAAATTCTATAATTTCAAGCTACTCACTGGTGATATTTGATAAATGGCTTTATTAGTTTTGATACAGTGTGCCTTTTTTTTAAACACTGCAAACAAACAGTAGAAATCTATATATATCAACTTATGAAATATGCTTGGTTTGAGCTGTAAGTAGTCATTGAGTTCCTGCAGTATATAAAAGCATTGAAGTGGCTTATTTCTTAAATAATTAATGATCAAAATGCGAATACAATAAATCCTGTGTAATCTGAATTTTGCTAGGCCTCACAAGCCTTTAAGAGAAGAGTTCACATCAGCAACCACAGGATAGGTTTCCCTAGCTCTCACCTCCATTTCTCCTCTAAGACCTTGGCCCCCTGCAAAGCATCAGCCATCACTCCTGGGGGCCCCTAAAGGAGGGGTTTGTGAATAAGTGTGTCCCCGACCACAGTTGCCATAGGAGCCGCTGCCCTCGTCTCCTCTCCTGCTGAGGCTTCTTTGGTTGGTGGTGCCTCACCGCTGCCCCTTCTGGGTCCCTACCCCTCCTGAGATTGCTCTCGGGTGCTGAGGTGCTGCAGCCATACTGCCTCCCCTTGCTCCCATGGGACCAGGGATGTGCTGTGGTCAGACAGGTGGGAGAAGGCCTCTCTCCCTGGCATCATTCTGCCTCACCAAAGCATTTCTGCTCACAGGGATCCTGTGAGAAGAGCTCCTTCATTTTCCACTGACAACAGCCATTTCTCCTTCCATAGGGTTCAGGTACAGGTCCCCAAAGCTGGGCCAAGAGCGAGAACAGACCTGCCCTTTCTCCCATACTGCCCTCCTCCATTTTTATTTTTTATTCTTGTAACCCTTTCTTGTAACTGAACTTACAAAATAGATGCCTCCATGTCAGACAGTGGGGTGTGTCTGGAGCTAAGTGACAGCAGCTTAGGCTTCAGATGTGTGTGTATGCCCATGGGGACCGGGGGAAGGAGAAGAGGACCCCCTTACCTGGCCACCTAGATAGAACTTGAGGAATGGTTGGATTGTTTTTGAGAACAGAAGGTTAAGTGGCGAGCTTGTCATTTCATACCTTGAAAGTTATGAAGACCTTTTGTTTAAAATACTATGAAGAGAATTAAATCTTTTTTCTCCTTGACTCAGGCTCTTGCAGTAGGTGAGTCATCATTACAACCATAGGGTTTCCTCACTTGGATCGACAGATGTGGGAGATGGCTTAATATCTATAGGCCTCAGGACATACCCCAAAAATTGTACTTTTTATCTTTTGCACTGAATCCTTCATCATAGCTTGCTTTTTACTGCATTGCCCTTTTCTCAAAATTCAAGTACAGAAACAAAACCATTCCAGTTTAGTGAAGATTGAGGCTGTTCCCATAAGGCCTCAGGCTTTCCTGGAATTGGCTATGGGACACATGTGTGACACTTGGCTCTGGCTATGAGACCTCCATCCCAGTTGCTCCATCTTTGATAAACAGCATAATCTTTCTCCCTGTTAAGAAAGTAAGCCATTTAAATGCACTTCCTTCTACCCATGAAGCCCGTGATGGGCTCCAGACAGGCCAGAAACGATCACCCAGCTTTTCTTATCTCCAGGTTCATAATGATACTAAGATGCTTTTGATTACCCACCCAAAATGTTTTGTGTGAAATGGAATCCAGTGCTCTTTGGTGACTCTTTGGCCACCATATTTGCTCAGGGTCACCCCTGAGACTATGAGAGGAGGTTTGCTCTTTGGAGCAGTTCCGCTGTCCTTCAGAGCCCACGGTGAGTCAAGAGTTTCTGAGATTACACAACAAAACTACTGAAGGAGGTCCTTGGCTCTGGTAGCACATTATATTGAGGAGGCAAACACTGAAATAACTGTGGTGTTAGGTAATTGTGTTTTAGTAGAGAGCTGTGAGCATAGTGGAAGAAGAGAGACTCTCTGTCTTGGAGTAGGAAGCTCGGAGGCCTTCCTGGAGAAGGTGACATGGGTGCTGGACTTTGTAGGATGACAAGGCACTTGTCAGGCAGGGAAAGGGGGAAGCACACTCCAGGTGAAGGTTACATTGGAGGCAAAGAGGGATAGCAGGTCCATTAAGAGATGAGGAAGTTTATGGACAGTAAATTGTGAAGGCCCTCAAATGCTCTGCACAGGGGAGTTCTGTCAGAAGAAAGCAGCTCTTGACAAGTCTTAAGCAAGTGAACCCTGGGGACTGGTGGGATGGATGGATTGAGAGTGGGCAGAGGATGGGTCTGGCCATGACTAGTTCTGATTGTGGCTTAGGAGGTGGCTGACTGGGAATGGACATGGTGGAGACTGAATGTGGGCCCTTTTTGTTGTTCCAGGTATCTGATTCCTTGCAATCACATGATGCTGAGTCAGAGGTGGGCTGTGAAGGAGAGAGACTGTTACTCTGTTTCTGCGGCCAAGCTCCTTGCCCTGACCCCTGTCTGCTGCTCCAGTGGCATCACCCTGACGCTTGGGAACCAAGAGAGGGATTATATCCTCTGGTCAAAGTGTGCGCACGCTAGTTCAGGTAGGAACATGCGAGTGATGATCTTTAAACCAAAGGATGCCAGATTGCATCTCTCCTTGGGATCTGTGTCTCTTTGGAAGGGCAGGGTAACAAGATGAGGAGTCCCGTTTCTTTTATAAATGACTAGTTGGGGTCCTTTCCTGCTTCGTTAGCAGTTGTGGCCACTGTGTAATCAGTGTTCATTGATGGGCCCAGCTGTCACGGATTCAGTGTGCACCAGACCTTTATTTTAACTCGGCTTTCTAATGTCGCCCCCAGAATCCAAATGTGAAAACGTGTACCAGCATGGCTCCTAAAACAAAATAGGGGTGAGGGATGTGGAGATGGCTATAGCGAAAATATAATTAGTCCTTAATTTCCAAAGTGGCCCATTCGTGGATGCTTCCCTGTCAATAATATATCATCATAAAACTTGAAAATTGTGATATGGCAATAGCATCTGATTCATTTGGTTGACCTAATGAGCGATCTTTCATAAATGCACCGTTTTTACGGGAGTTATAGTGCTCCTGTGCTATTTGCCAGCTGCAGTGGAGCTCGTACAAGTAAAACTTGAATTGTCACCTGTATCAACGATGGCGCTCTGGCAGACAGCTGGAGCAAGGGGACATTTGTGTATCTTTCATGGTCAGAAGACTGTTTCAGTTCAGGAATATTCTGCCTGTCCAGTCCTGGTGTTAACTCGGGTGTTTTCCATCTATATTCTGCTATTCCCTAAACAGTGTTCCTCTGTACACTCAGCTATCGCCAGGCTGCTTGACTAAGAAAATAGCAGCATGTTTAGTATAAATGTAATTTTTAGAAATGAAGATTGTCTTACTGATTCTTGGTCTTAAATAAAGATACAGTATATACATGAAAAGTAATAATTTATGTGGCAATATAATAAGCTGGATTTTAAACATATTTTCCTGTTAAGTAAATTAGTATAGATAGCTTATATTTTCCTATCCAGTAGTTACTTTTTTAAACATATTTGAAAATTGATGTCTTTTTTATTTACTGAAAACATTCTTTCCAGGATAATTCTGTGGCTGGTCTTGCTGCGGAATTCAAAATTCAAGTTAAACATATGACTGTTGAGTGTCTATGACTAGCCACATGTTTTCTCTGTGTTATCACATCTAATCCTTTCAAGAAGGATTTTCAAATTTTACAGTTGAAGAAGCAAACTCAGAGGGATTGGCTTGTTCAAGGTTACACAGCTGGCAGGTCCTCTGATTCCAAAGTCCACATTCTTTCTACCATCCTGCCTCTGGGGTTGCCTTACAGCAGATAAATGCCCTAATGGATGGATGTTTACATAGGTAGATAGGTGGGTCGATAGATGATGTGATCATTGTGCAGTGATTAAGAGCTAGGACTCTGAATCTTGGGCTCTGCAAATTTCTTGGGCAAATTACTTAACCTTTCTTACTTTTCCCCTCATGTGTAAAATGGAACCTACCTCAAAGGGTTGTTCCAAAGATACATGACCTTAGACGTATAAAGCTCTTAGAACACTACCTGGCATGTAGTAAGTGCTAAATAAAATATTGCTAGTAGTCTTTTTTAAAATATTTTTTTTATTTAAAAGTGGATGAGATAAACACTAACCTTTTAACAGTAGAGCTTTAAAAATAATGAACTCTATCTACCCTAATGACCTGAAAATGTGTATTCTTAAAAGTTTGATTCTAGCCCGGTGTGGCAGAGGTTTAGATAATAAAGAGACCAGAAACTTGCAAAGGTGTGGCATTGAATTAAATAAGAACAGGGGTTGACATGAGACTAACTGCTGGAGTTGTGGCTCTGCTGCTGACTGCTTGGGGGGCCTTTTCTCTCTGTGCCTCAGTTTCTTCATCTGTAAACGGAGAAAATAAGACCTGTGTTATAAGGTTGTTGTAAGGATTAAATCAGATAGCACTGATCAAGCAACTGCCACATGGTAGATGGTTGAGAAATGGTAGACTGTGTATTTTTCCTTCTTTGAATCTTTTTTTTTCCCTCAAGTCCTTTTACTTCCAGTTATGCAGTTGAGAACTTTTAACATCAAAGGCAGAGTACCATATGATAACACTGCAAGAATTCCGGAGTTATAAGGGCTATTTTGGCACCGAACATCACTTTATCATAAGAGACCATTTGGTAATTATCAACAACCCAGGAGTTCCCACAAAGGCAGAATGAGTCAACAGGCTTTTCTAAAAACCCAGGGTTTTCTATAGAAAATCTGTTTCCCCCAGTTCATGTATTACCACTTTAGAGTCAACATAAAAATCTGTTTAATTATTAATGCTGTGGCAGGTACTATAGTCGATACATTACCTAATTTAATCCTCTCAGCAACCTGAGAGGCTGCCATGATTAGCTCTTACTTCTCTAATGACTGCTGCCTAACAGTTTTTTCTGTGGGCTCAGGCCAGTATCTGATTGGCCATATTGGTTCTATATCTCCTAGGAGGGTAGAGTTTCTGTTTTCATCTTTCCTTCTTAAAACCTAACCATTATTTTTTATTATTGGGAACTCATTTAATCAGAAATTATGAGAGCCAAAGTAGGTGGTGGGAGAGAGTCTTAGCCGCCCGATGAGTCACCTCCCTGTCCAGGGCACTTGTCCCCACACCTCTCCCAAGTGTAAGGCGGGGGCTCGGGGCTCCTTCTGACATTTGTCTGCCTCCCATGGCAGGGCCCGTGGAGCAGCCCCGCCCTGTGGCACTCTCCCCGTCGGCCTGCATCGTGGAGTACGGCAAAGCCCTGGACATCAGCTACCTGCAGTACCTCTGGGAGGCCCACACCAACATCCTGCGCTGCATGAGGGACTGCCGGGTCTGGTCCGCCCTGTACGACGGAGACTCCCCTGACCCTGAGACGTTTCTCCAGGGTCTGACAGACGACAGCGCCATCCAGCCCGCCTACCCTGTGTTCGGGCTCCCGCAGCCGCTCCCCAGGAAGGCGGGGCCTCCGCTGGCTCCGAGAAAGGACAAGAGTCAGACGGAACTGGAGTGGGATGACAGCTATGACACCGGGATCTCCTCAGGTGCGGATGCGGGCTCCCCTGGGCCTGACAACGATCCGGAGACTTCTGGCCCGCCGGTGCCGATCGATCCCCCCAAACACATCCAGGAGATGAAGAAGAACGCCATCCTGCTCTTCAAAGGGTCCTACATCGAAGAGTCCGACTTTCAGGACGATGTGATGGTGTACAGGTTGTGTGCGGAGAAGGACTCTGAGGACGCTAGGAATTCACAGGAGGAACCTGCCCGGCCTCCATCCCAGGGCCAGCCCGAGGGTCATGGTCCCCACGTGAACAACGGTCCCCTGCCCAGCCCTCAGCCAGACACAGACTTAGAGGAGGAACCTCACACGGACACCTCGGACCTGGCTCAAAATGCGTCCAAGGAACCAAAACAAGAGAATGAGCCTGAGGTGGCCCCGGAATCGAACTCAGAGTCAGCAGCCCCTGTCCCCGGGGTGGAGCACAGTTCAGACCTGACGGCTGTTAGCCCAGAGCGGGAAGACTTCATTGCCCAGTATGACCAAATCATTAAAGAACTGGATTCTGGCACCGAGGGCTTCATAGAGCACAGTTTCTCCTCACCCGATGCCTCGCTCCTCACGGAAGAGCAAGAAGGGGAGGAAGAGGAGAGCAAGGCAGAAAGGGAGGAGGAGGAGGAGGAGGAAGAGGAGGAGGAGGGGAAGAAGGAACTGGAAGAGGAAGACGACTTTGACTCTTTTATCGCAGAGGCTCCTGCCGCAGAGACCCTGCCGTCCCCATTTGGGGTGAGAGACGAGAAGGCCTTTGCCTGTCACTATCCCACGAGGACTCAGAGCACGCCGTTCACAGGTGACCACCTTAGCTTGCTTTGTGATTTCTGCTTTTGAAAGTACTCGTACCTCTTACAACAGGAAAGTAAGGTAGATGGAGGTAAGGAGTGTTATCTATTCGTTTACCTCATGGGGCAAAAGTATCTTTGTAAAGAGCAAAGGGGGTTGTCTCGTTTTATTTTGTCATTCTTGCAACAGCTGTCTTGTTTTTTTAGCCCCCCAGCAAATTAGAGGTTCAATTTTGCTGTGGCGTAACTTCCCTTGATAAAGTAACAGGGCTGATGAGACCACACAAGAAATGCAGTCTCATTATTTAATAGCCTCATTCCCTTTAGTCTTAATTTCTTTTTCTTCTTAGCGTTTATTTGTATGTGTATTTTTTTTAAATTATGTTTTTCCCCCACTAGAATGTATGCTCCATGAGGGCCCAGGTGTTGGCCTGTTCTCTGCTCTATGGCCAGCACCTGAACAGGGACCACACCACCTGGTAGGCGCTCAGAGTATCTGCTGAAAACATGTAGCTGTGTGCACGTCAGGGGCCGTTGGGTCAGTCACGCCTTTGCCTGGGCGTTCATTTCAGATAGTCACAAAATCTTCATCCAAAAATCAGTACAGTAGGCACACATAAACTCATAACTAAAGAGTGGGTGTTCCGGTGATACACCCCTGACAACAGGTAGATGTCGTGGAGGAAGCAAAGTGGTCGGGTAGGATATTGTAAGGGGATCGGGGTGAGGAATCACGATGGAAAATGTCATTAAATATGAGCCAGGAAAACTGAATCTGCAAATCGTGGTGCAGAGAGAACTGGCATCAAGCACAGGACTGGTCGGGGCGGGACCCCTGAATGGTATTTGGGTGGCAAGTAGAGGTCCTTAAAGGAGCCGGCCTACCAGAGGGACAGACAGTGGCTTTGGAGTCAGGCCTGTGGGGAACCCTGGCTCTGGCACTTCCAGCCATGTGGCCTTGGTGTCCCTGACCCTCCTGTTGCCCCTGTGAGGACTCAGTGTGATCCTGGGGGTTCGTTATTGTGATTACAGGGGGTGGGGGGGCAGCCCCCAGCAGCCTAGCTGAGGCCTGTCCTTCCCCAGGAAGTAGGGAGCAGCCTGGTGAGCAGGGACCGTGCTTCCGCCTCCTTGGGTCACCCCAAATACTAGATGAAATCCCTTTACCTTCCGGTCCAGCCAGGTAGGCTTAATATAATTTCAAGGGGTGCTTCCACCCTCCTCTTAATATTTATTCATCCATTTACTGATGCCTGAAATTTTATTTAAACAGGGAGAAAGCTTTTAATTTCACAATTAAAAGGCTTGAGGTTCTAGTTGAGATAACATTTCAGTGTGAATGTGTTTTAATTAAAATTCAATCAGTCACTCAAAACGTAAGTAAAAAGGATTAGATAATCTCAATTTTCCCAGTTGATAAGTGGAGGAGGGGAGGCCCCCGGCTGACTGAAGGAGGGGTGCAGCGCTCAGTGGAGGGAAAGGGGCAGAAGTCACCAGCATAGGCCCCAATTTTGTCTGAGACCTGCCCCCTTTACTCTCACCCCCAACTTGTATGCAGTTGGGACATCAGGCCACCCATGGCTAATGAAGATGCTTTCTTAGAAAGGAGCGTCATCCCTGGGAAATATGTAAATTGAGGAAACAAAGTATAGCTTAGGGCAGAAAAAGCTAACACAATACCTTATGACATAACATCAATATTTTACACCCGAGAACCAACAAAACATGTGAGTTTTTTTATATATATAGGTAATGGTCACTAAAACTTGCCTTTTCCTCCTTTGAAACTTGTACACAACTTCAGGAAACGCCTTTCCTCTCTCTGGGTATGTGAACTTTGTGGTCTCTGGAATTCTGAGAATGTCCTGAGGCTTAACTTCTGTTTCTCCATGGAGTCCTGATTGATGCTCCCACACATTTCTCTCCCAGCAAAACCAAAGGGTTCCATTTCATTTATTTAATTAACTTTATTTGTGCATTCATCAATATTTCATTGCTTCTCCTAATATTTGACAGGCTCTATGCTAGGTGCTAGTGATATAAAAATGAAGGGATTTGCAGACTTTCGGAGGAGACATCAACAAAGAACGGTACTCCCTTAGTGAAATGCATTGTTAGTCATTGTGTGCCAAGTCCTAAGGGAGCCCAGCGCAGGGAGAGGGAAAGGCTTCACAGAGGGACGGGAACAGTGAGCAGAAGCTACCGCGCTAAGGTGGCTGAGAACGATAGCACAGGCGGAAGACAAAGGAGGCTGCCAGGGCATGGGTACGGCAGAGCATGGATGTGAGGCAGAGAGGAAGTGTGCGTGAGAGAGGAAGCCACAGAGCTTGCTGGATGCCAACTTGTTGGGGGTCCTTTGGGCCAAGCTGAGGCATGGGGGCCTTGTGCTGCTGGCACTGGAGATGCACTAGAAGTATTCGAGTTGGCAGGGGATGTGAGTGGGTCTGTGTGTGAAAAGGCCGCCTTGGAGCAGTATCGAGAGAGCACTGGAGGGGGACAGCAGGGTGCCGGGAAGATCAAGTAAGAGACTATTGTTGTCCTGTCAGAATTCAGGATGCACCAAGGCTTGGATCCGGTAAATCTGTTTCTAGGAACATTTTCACAGCTTTACTCACACGTCTCTGTGCCAAGATGTGTATTCAAAGATGTTCATTGCAGTATGGTTTATAATAGAAAAAGGCTGAGACAACCCGCTGACCCCCGCTAGGAAACTGTTTTACTAAAGCAACACGCATAGTGATTGGACATTTTTTGGCTCTGGGATGAATGAGACAGCTCTGTATGTGCTGATACGGGACAGTGTCCAGGATACATTGCTCAGTGGAAAAGCAAAGTATAGAGCAGTGTGTAGAGAATGTTGTCATTTGTTTAAAAACACAAAAAGGGAGATACACACACCACCACCACCACAACCACCCCCGCCACCTCCTCCCCCGGAGACAAGATATTGTGATGGTTAAGAGTATAGGCACTGGAAACAGATGGTCTGGATTAAAATGGGCACTCTCATTTACAAGCTGTGTGTACTTGGCATTCCGACTCACCTTTAAAGGGGATAAATAATGAACATACTTCGTAGAGTTGTTGTATTTAAGTAAATTGATACGAGATAAGTGCTTAGAGCACTGCCTGGCTCAAAGTAAGTGATTAATAAAAGTTTTAAATAATAATTCACTTATTTTATTATATACACAAGACATTTCTGGAAGGATACTTTATCCTTTGTACGCCTATACTGTTTGAAGAAGAAGGAAAAAATTTAAATCATTTCAATCTCTATTAAAATAGGAAAACTACTGTTGAAGTCCAGACAAGAAATGATGAGACCCTGACCTCAGGCGGTGCTGGCGGGGGAGAGGGAGGTATTTCCAAGGCCGAATTGGCAGAGCTGAGGCAGAGATATGATGGCAGGTCCGTTCTCAGAGTTGGGAGATACAGGAGGATGGGATGGATAGACGGAGCAGGGGAGGAGGCTCTTGAGGAGAAAAGAGTGAACGACTGGGGAGGAGCGGTGGGGATCATCTTAGTCATTCTGAAAAGTTAAATACTTCATGGCTGGGGAGTTCATCCATCCTCCTAGAAGAAGAGGGGGAAAACCACGCCCTCCAGCCCCTGTGCATACCTGTGGCTTTCTGAATTGTAGCTGAGTTTTCTGATTTTCAACAGCTTTCCAGTTTCCCTTAGCAACAGCTTTTTGCTAAGTAGCTTTTAAGTGTTAGAAATCAACTAAGAATAAAACAGGAATTTGAAAGGGTTTAATATATATTTCTTACTGCACATGTCCAAGAAGTTGTAAAATATCATTAGTAGGTTATAATGACAGTCTTTTGGCTTTGACTGCCTGTCATTCAAAGAAGATGATGACATTCTCCACAGGACGCAGGTTCATACTTTTTTTTTTCCGTCCTAGTAGTGATGGGCTGTACATGATCGCCTCTGGCCATTGGACGGTCAGCAACTTTCATGTTTGTAGACTGGCCGGATGAGGTCACGTAAAGTCTGGAACTGTGGTGGGGAAGTTGAGGTCTCACTTCAAAGACATGTGTTTCACAGGAGACTCTACCCACATAAATGCCTTGTCTGCTCCCTCTGAGGAAATATTCATAGATGCTGAGCCTGGGACTGTAGAGGAGGGGATGAGAGGGTTTGTGGGTAGACTGAGTCCAGGGTTGAGGAGAGTGAGGGCAGCAGCCTTCTCGTGATCTACCTGGGATGCCTTAGAGTTACTGCTGACATTTCTGGGGTTCTTGATGGAACCCCATCAAGTTGCTTTCAAATTGGGGGCTTCAATCCATAGTTTCTGAATGTGCTTGGCAAACTCTGCCAGTGTTGTTTTGTAAGCAGGGGCTCTCCAAGGGCTTTCTAGTCAAAGAGTTCATTGACCTGCTGTGTGATGGGATGTGAATGAGGAGCTCAGACCCCATCCCAAGGGTGGGGAAGTTGAGGGGATGATGCCTTTTCTGTTTCGAGGCCCCTTAGAGACGTGCTCTGTATTCCTGGCAATGGGGCGATTGCCGTTACTCAGTTACTTGCCTACATGGTAAGGGATATGGGTTTGGTGTTCCCATTTCTCAGATAGCTTGTTTTCTTGCAAAGGGTTTTTACTCTCCTACACTACCACTTCTAAATGAAGCAGCTTGTAATGAAGTATATTTTTGTTAAACTTATATTAATGTTGGTGAAGTCTTCCTACCACACGTTTATTCATCAAGGGGGATATGTGCTTTGTCATAAATACGCTGTGGTTTAGTGGCGTCATCAGTAGCCCCCCTGGGTTACATACAGAATTCTCATTAATTTTGCTTAATGACCACTTTTATGGTGAAAATGGAAAACATCTCCCTGTAATTTTATTAATGCCAGATTAATTTCTTGATTTTCCTCGTCTTCAATGAACTCAAACATAGAGCATGGTAATTTTCTGGTGACCCACATTAGTTGAAGCTCCTTTTTTATTAGTTTACTTATAAACTGTTTTTTTTAAGTGAAATAATAGATTTTTTTTTTAAGGAACCTATGACATATCAAACGATATTTCGCCAAACCAAGTCCCTTTTCTCCCCTCTCCCCGCCATCTGTAAATTAGTGTTACTGAGTTGCTCAGGGCTATTAAACTCACAGCCCAAGCCTCATTTACCCATCTCTCTTCTTCCTCTTCTTCCACGTCGTGACATTTGACAAGACAGAATCTTTCTCGTGGTGCTTGTTGGGGGTAGACAGCCCCTGTTCATAGTGTTATCACAAGTATTTGATAAACATGGTTCGTGTGTGTTTGGTATTCTTTTTGTGTGTTTTTGTTTTTAATTTTGTTCTTTAAATTCCACATATAAGTGACGTAATATGGCCTTTGTCTTTCTCTGACTCACTTCACTTAGCATGACACCCTCTAGGTCCATCCATGTTGTTGCAGCGGTTGGTATTCTTTGAAAGTATATTTTAAATTTTAAAATTGAATGCTTCATCAAGGTCTATGATGACTTTGAGTATCAGACCAGCTCATGGAGTCAAACCGTTCACTCCCGTGCACCTTTTTCTGCTGTCTTTTTGTGGCAGTGGTTGGTTTGGCGCTTTGGTTTGAGGCAAGAGAATACCTGGTTGCACGTCCTGTGTTGGGATTTGATCTGCACCTGGCGGGGCTGTGCTTTGGGTGGGAGCTGTGGCCCCAGCGCCTCCTTAGTTGTTGGGGAAGACATTCCCGTGTGCCCTGCCTGCCCTGAAGCCCTGTGCTCTCCCGTCAGGCCCCTTCATCAGCGTGGTCCTGTCCAAGCTGGAGAACATGCTGGAGAACTCGCTGCACGTTAATTTGCTGCTTATTGGGATCATCACTCAGCTAGCCAGCTACCCCCAGCCGCTCCTGCGTTCCTTCCTCCTCAACACCAACATGGTCTTCCAGCCAAGTGTCCGTTCTCTCTATCAGGTACGCGAGCTGGGCCCACATCCATCCCTGTTCATTTTACGGACAGGGCTCCCTCTGTCCTGCCCTTGTTATTGTGGTGTTTTTCAGAAATCCCTCTCTTCTAATTCATTTGCTCTCCTTACCCGTCCTGTTATGCTAATTGTGTAGATTATTCCAGACAAACCACAAAGCTTCATTTGGTTAGATGTTTCGAGGGTGCCCTACCAAAACACTCAGGCAGTTAAAAATGAGCAAGTGCCTCATATCATAATAGTTCCTGCAACGAGGGATGTACCTGAAAGATATATTGATACCTGAGGCTGGAATTCCGTTGGAGGCATTAACATCATTCATGTTGTTTTTGACAGGTCCTAGCATCTGTGAAAAACAAGATTGAGCAGTTTGCCTCTGTGGAGAGAGACTTCCCAGGGCTCCTCATACAAGCCCAGCAATACCTGCTGTTCCGGGTGGACATGTCCGACATGACCCCAGACTCACTAACCAAAGGTAAGCTACTCCCTTGCATCCCTCCTTTAACTGCTCCCCCATTTCCCCAGCCTCCTGATTTGGGTTCAGAGATGCTGCATAGGCTCCTGGGCTAAAAGCATCTAAATATATTTTCATTTTTGCCCAACAGGGAAAAACCTCCTGTTCTGAGGCCTCAGAAGGTCTGCCCTGCCCTTACCTGGCCTGTTCTCAGTTCAGAGGGTCTCGAGGGGCATTTGTTTTCCTAACGGAGAGTGACTGAGGGAAGGAATGATGTGTGGGCTGTTGCCAGGCTAGAATAAATAACTTGGCGCATGTGGGCCAGAACGAGGCATTCTATACACGCCTAAGCCATGTTTTGGCCTGAGGAGGGCATCTGTTGTTCTCTTTATTATGTTTTCAGAGACTCTCGGGCCCCAAATAAATGTGCTGTAAGGCTCTAGAAGGTAAAAACTATTAGTTTTGATGGGGACAGGTAAAGTTTATACTTGGCTTACAATTCCTGAGAGTGACTTTTCATCAGCTCTCAAGGTGTTAGGCTGCGGCCTGGCGGGGAGGGTGGTGGGTGGGTGCTGAGGAGGTGCTGCTGGCCGCCCAGGTCTGGGGAGCATTGCTGCTTTGCCTCATGTAAGCCTGTGTTGGACAGACAGGATGACCAGGTGTCTTGTGAGCTGTGAGTTAGGCCTTGGTGAGTGCAAACCAGGAAACGCCCCAGGTTGCATGGGCTTTTGCTTATCTCAAGACAGGTCAGACTTCTCTGTGGTGGGGGACCAGTGGAGAGAGTGGGGCTCTCAGGCCTGGGCTCAAGGCATCCTGATCAGAAACCAGCTGTGAGAGGCAGAAGTGTAACTCAGAGCAATGTTTACATCTTTAAAGAAAGCTGAAAAGACCCCAGAGCTCTGAAGGCTTGACCTTGCCTCTGCGTAGCTGTTTGATCTCGGTCATGTTGCCTCACCGGGCCTCAGGTTTCTTCACTCTTAAGTGAAGGATTTGTTTTCCATCTCTGAAGTCCTTTCTCGAGGTAGAACTCTGGCTGTGAAGGGGCCCTTAGGGCACTACAAGGCAGATTTTGCAAGAAAGGTGGGCCTTGTGCCACTGGTAAGATGGGACTGGGGGAGCAGCTTCAAGCTTTGGCCCTGGAGGAGAGCACGCAAGGCCACTCATGGAAGGAAAGGAGCCCCTGCATCTCTGAGGGAAGGTGAATTGCAGGCCCCATCTGGCCTCTGCAAGCCACCAGGACAGTTGGTCTGTTAGCTGTGTTCCTCCTGAACAGGGAGGGTGTTGCTGTAACTCACCCTGCGAGAGCATGTGTGTCAGTTAGTTTGTGTGTGTAGCAAAGCACTGCAAAAACACTGCTTAAAACAGTCATTTATGAGTGCTTGGGAGTCCGTATAGTTACCGGTGTTCTGATCTGCGCTAGGTTCAGCTGTTTTTGGCTGGACTGGCTTGTGTGTTGCCGTCAGCAGGTGGCTTCTATGTCTGGGATGGCCTCACTCATACTGGTGGCTGCTGGCTGGAGTGATGGGGATGATGGGGTCTGTGTTTCCCGTCATCCAGCAGATTAGCTCTGTTTGTCAATGTCACAGCTACAGGGCTGCAAGACCGAGAGCAGAAGTGTACAAAAATCTTTTGAGGCCCCGGCTTGGTACTCACACAAGGTCAATTCTGCATTCTGTTGGCAAAAGGAATTCCCAGGGCCGGCACCACTTCAAGAAAGGAGCAAAACCCCACCTCTTTTTCTATTTTTTTATTATTTTTTTTAAAGATTTTATTGGGAAATTGGAGAAGGGGAACAGCCAAGTTGTTGTCCTTCAGTCTTAATTGTGGAGGGCCCAGCTAGCTCAGCTCCAAGTCCAGTCGCTATCAGGCCGGCCGTTAGCAGCTCACTGCCGCTCAGCTCAAGGTGCTGTGTTCAACTTTAGTTGCAGGTGGGCATAGCCCACTATCCTATGCAGGAATCAAACCAGCGACCCTGTTGCTCAGAGCTCACCCTCTTAACCAACTGAGCCACTCAGCCGGCCCAAAACGCCACTTTCTGATGGGCAGAATTGCAAAGATGGCCATTTTTGCAGTTTACCAGAGAGAAAGTGACTTCAGTTTCCTCACATTGTACACCAGGCCTCATCTTCACTTGTATTTTACAATTTGTAAAGTGCTTCCCCCATCAGTTTTTATTTTTAAACAGCTCTGTGAAATGGACAAGAGAGAGAGTGTTGGGTTCTTTTTTCATATAAGGAAGCCAACATTAGCGGCCCAGGGTAGCCAGGCAGGATCCCAAAGTCCAGGTAGGTGCCTGAGACTGTCCCCCGAGTTCACGGCCAAGGGCACATACAGTGACCGACTTCGCAGGCTTTCCGTGTATGTTCCGGGTGAGGGATGGAGGGGCAGGGAGGAGTGGGGTCACTCACACTGTGTCCTTTGTTCTGGCTTCAGACGGGCTGTGACCATGGCTGCCAGACACATGCTCAGAGGAGCTTGTTTCCACCACATAAGGTTGTCAGATTAGTCAGCTGTGGCTGATGCTTTTTAAGGCCTGTGACATTCAAGGGACTTTGATTTGTAGGAAGCGTCTCTCGGGATATAAGACTTTCCTTTCATGGAGTTTTTTACATTAACTTCCTAACTTCTTTCAGATTAGCAGAGTGACACCCTCCCCTTAACTTAAAAGAGCTCGAAACTCACAGAATAAGAAAGGTTCTGTCCCTTTGCACAGAGCTGGCTTCTGAAGTATTAAGTGTGATGTGATTGCCTATAAATGAGTTGAATCTGGGACACAGAACCATTTATAATTAAGAAAAGCCTGGTAAAAGGCCAAATATTAGGGTTTCCAGTGTCTGTGTACTATGCACTTTGTCTAACACCACTGACAGGGAGATTAGCGTGTAACGGATTTCTCACCTTAACTTCTGAAGTCTTTCCAATATTAGTCTTGAAAATGCTCTGTTGCAGCTTTTCAGACCCAGGGCAACATTTCAGAAAACCGCTCCTGACTCGATCATTGATTTGTACGTTCCTCCCTCCCTGCTTTATCGTCAGGTGCTTCTGCGTGCTTGTTGAGCCCTTTACGGGGGGTGTAACCCGGGTGCCCGCAGCCAGAGCTGCTCCATCATTGCAGGCCCTGCACTCCCTGGGCCTCCTGGCAGCCCTGGGAAAAGAGCCTCCTCACCAATGCTTCAAACGGAAGGACGAGTCCAGAGCTGGCAGACTTCCTGTGCCAGCTGTCACATTGTCATGTTGTCTCTGAGGCTCAGCCACTTGCCAAGCTTTGCATTTACCCCTGAAATACTTTCCAAACCACAGAGGTTGTATTTACTTGTCTGCACTTACATTCAGAGTCCTTTCATTGATGTCTACCTCTGGAAGGGAGGTCAGGTAGGTATTAGTCCCATGTGACAGGAAAGGAAACTGAGCTGTCATATGAGAATCTAGCTACCAGGTAGGGTCTGTAACCAGGGCTCTGTGCTTTGAGTTGAGAGCTCCTGGGCTTTGTGACACATGAGAGGCCAAGCCCATGCTGACGGGACAGGGCCGCTGTCAGGATTTTCTTCACCCCCTCGCTGGGTGCGCTCCTGCCTTCATTTGTGAAGACAATTTTGAGTCTTTGATTTAAGCCGGGTAAATGAGCCTCATTTGATGGCACTTTCTAAATTCATGGTCAAGCTAGGATAAATGAACCACAAAAACCTTTTTTTGGGGGAAAAAGGAGTGAATCTGAGAGAAAGATGGTGACGAGAAATGCAAACCAGCTCCAGGGAGCTGAGCTGCAGGTCAGTTCCTTCCCGCATTCATTCAGCAAATGCTTATCAGCTTCTGCTATGAAGAAGGAAGCATGTTGGGGGCTGCACAGGACGCATCCTGTAGGGGCTCAGCTCTCAGGAATCTCAATGTCTCGGAGAGGAAGAAAAACAAACAGCAACGCAGGGTGAAGAGCAATGCAGGCATTCATAGGTAGATAAAATGGGGTGGGAGTCTAGAACAGAGAATTTACTTGTAGAGGCAGGAAACAGGAAGTGCCTTGTGAAGTCCTGCCGACTGAATTGATGGCTGACACTATTTGTTATACCCATTGACTCATTTCATCCTTACGACAACTCTATGAGCTTTTGACAGATGAGGACATTAAAGTACAGAGAGGTAAAGCAACTCGCCTGATGTTCCTCAGCCAATAAGGGGCAGAGTCTGCGCTCTTTACCACTGTCCTGGTGTCTCGTAAGGCTAGGAAGATTTAGGGGAGCAGAAATGTAGGGGAAGGGAATTCCAGGTGAGGGGACCAGCATAAGCAGTGCTGGTCCTGGTCTGAGATTAGTGCCCACGAGCGTCTCAGTCCCCACTGGTGTCCACGCTGGCTTCCTTGGTGTTCTTCTCCGGGCTCTTCGGGGAGCTGCACTGATGGAGGGCTAGGGTGAGGGTGCTAAGGGGGTGGTCGCCAAGGTTGGCATGTACCTCAGTGATGTCAGCACTTTTGGCCTCGCTGTCGTCAGGACATGTGTGGGTTTCTGCTGAAAGGCAGCAGACAGTTTCTCAACAACTTTTCTAGTTCTTTATGGCACATATTGTGATAAGCTTTAATCTGAAAGGATATTTAAAGCAGTAAAGTGGAGGATTTTTTTTTTTAACACTAGAGACTATAGTAGTGAGTTGTGGAAAGTACTATAAATGTCAAGAATTTTTAGTACTGTAGTTAAGCGACACTCTGAGAAGAGTGTTGAGAAATGGGACTGAATTCTGAAAAGCGGCCAAAATAATGAAGAGCTTGAAAATAATGATTTATAAGGAGTAATGAGACTGTTTGAGTAGGGGGCAGAAGAAGACATAAATGATTCCTATAAATACACGAAGTCCGGAAATGTTCAGATATTCAAGAATTAAATAGTCGGGAATGCTGGACCATTTTAATTAGCAAAACTGCTTTGATGTGAAAATGCAAATCACTTGAATATGTTCAAGTTTGGGCTCATATCATCTTAGACCTATGTTACTGAAACTGAAATCGAAACCCTGGAAACAGTCGTTAAATGGAGGCTTCTAAGCCACTGCTGCCACTAGATGCCCACGATTATGGGACGTGCGCAGTCAGGTCTTACCAGCACTCAAATTTCTCTCCATTATTTTCAACCTTTAAAAGGCTTCTTCCATTCTCTTCTCCACCAAAGGCTGGAGGTCCTGGCTAGAAGGGGTCGGGGGTCACCAGGGAGCCCTAGAGGCCGGAGCCTGAGCTGCAGAGAGCTTGGCGTGGCCCCAGCCTGCCTCCTGTGATCAAGGCTTAGCTGGCAAACATAGGACTGTCGCCCAACACGGGGACATTGGGAGAGCAGGTGGAGCCTCTGGATGTCCCTGAATAACCATCTTGGTGAGCTAAGTCTTCATTTGGTTGATGCAGCGGCAGAAGATGCCTTTTTCATTTTTTTTCCCCTTGCCATGCCGTGGGCATGGAGGGTTCTTGATAAACCTAAATTCTTATCACGATTTCTGTAGGAAGTTCCTTGTACAGGATTTGGGATAAAAGTCTTTCACATGCTATATGCCGGAGGTTATCTGCTGAACCCGTGACCAGACATTCTCCACCTACCCACACACTTGACTTAAGAAGGCGGACGTAAAGGGCTATGGCGGTCACTGTGACAGTTGCTTTCTGGTTTCAGATCCCATTCAGGATGCTTCCAGGACAGGAACTGGCAAGAACCTTTTGGATGGTCCCCCAAGAGTGCTTCAGCCCTTCCTGACAAACAGAGCCAAGGTGGCCGGGGTGCCGCCCAGCCTGCCGCTGCCCGTGAGGAACACCATGCTGGCCGCTGCCCTCTTCCCTGAGTTCCTGAAGGAACTGGCCGCCTTGGCCCAGGAACACTCCATCCTGTGCTACAAGATTTTGGGTGACTTTGAAGACTCCTATTGTTAGCTTTAGCTTTTTTTTTTTTTAATAGAGGTTCTTGTTTTTTAAGGTTTTAGTATCTGGACTGAATGTTAAATGCAAAGCTGCTTACAAAAATTTCTACTTTGATATTTCCTGAAAATACTTGATTTACGGGGAGGGGGATTTTCTGGACACCTCCTCTCTCTAGCCGGGTCTTTCCACCCTACGTTATATAGAATGTAAGTCTCATAAGCTGGTGGCTCCTGTGGCAGGTTTTCTACACTCAGTTTTTCCAACTAAAATTTTTTTGGTGGTTATTATGCTCCCGTCCCTCTGAGTCAACTCATCTTGCAGCTTAGGTCATACCAAACGAATACTGGGGTTCAGTGATCTCTGGATGTGCCCCATGTCAGAAGGCTGGCTCTTCAACAGCATGTGAAGAACACACACCTACTCCTGTTGCCTTCTGCGCGTGGGCTTCCATGTTATAAAAGGAAAGGATAAAGATGGAGCCCCCTTGCCTCCATCACGGAAGCACATGTCATAAGGCCTTTTGCCTTCTACTTCCCAGACTTAGGTTCTGCCCACCTGCCTTCTGGTGTGGGCGCGTCATTGGTCTCTGCTACCTGCCTGGGAAGTCAGATGTGGGTGGAGGGAACTTGGAACACAGGGATAGTTTCTTGTTGTTTGAGAGATTTCATTTAATCAGTGTATTGCTACTTAAACACTGAAAATAGCCTTAGTTTAGTAAGATTTGCACAAAGCGAAATGTACCTATGCAAACTGTTACTTTGGTTTTCAGGAGTTTGATCAGATAGAGAAAGCGTGGTATCATGTACTTATATAAGAAGACAATCATTATTTTTTAAAGTGTTTTATGAAAAACAAGTTAATTTGTGAAGCTATTTCATAGTGGGTTTTTTTTTTTTTGGCATGGGGGGAGTATGGAGGGGGGAGGGGGTAAAGGATAAAGGTAAACTAAATGTAATGTGTAAAAGCACTGGTAGTTAATCTTAAATTCTGTTTGCTTTTTCTAGTATGTTGCACTTTGTAGAGAACCAGGTACTGTTCAGCCACTCTGGGGAGTGGGATGTAAATCCCAGGGAGCGCTGCCACGCCAAGTGCCTGCTGGTGCCTCAGTCCACACAGAGGTGCCACCTTCTGAGTAACAGGGTTCATTAGGAGGCCCTAGTGTGCTGTATTAGTGCCTTTCTGCTGCTTGTCAGCCTGCTCCAAGGGGCATCATTATACATAGAGCCACAATCTCCTTACACAACCACCAAAAGGGGGAAACACAAAATAATCGTGGGCTAAATACGAGACCCTAAACAGCTGATATTTATGAATATTCAATTCCACTCCCCTCTATTCTGGGCAGGTAAGAAGCACATATAGAGGACATGCCTCACTGTTTGGAGGGAAGACGGACGCCCCAGCGTGCGCACGTCTTCTCCCTTCTCCTTTCTCTCTTCTTCTCCCTTCTCCCTCTCCCTCTCTCTCTCTCTCTCTCTCTCTCTCTCTCCCTCTCTCTCTCTGTTTCCCTCTCCCTCCCTCTCCCTTCCCCTCCCCAGATATCACTGCTGAGCACTCCTAGGGTGGGGGGCAGCCACAGGTCTGGTGGCTGTGTCTCAGGAGCATTGTTTTGGTTTAAATCAGGCCCCTAGTACAGGCGGTCAGTGGAGTAAAGAATCACAGGAGACCCTGCAGAGCAGAGGCTGCCCTTTTGTGGTTCAGGGATCTCAAAGCAGCTTTGTATTGAGAGAGAAGGCCAGCCTGTGGAGAGACCTGGCCTGGGCTGGGCGCCTCCTAAGAGCCAGCTTCACAGTGTTTTTGAGTCTGAGCAAGAAACCAAAGATACCACTTCATTGTGCATTTCTGACTTCAAATTTGTCTGTTTTGAAAAACGCTTGGCTCAGCTGTGGCGCAGCATCCAGGACCTCTGAGGCCCAGCAAACGGGCCTGCTCGTGGCTCCCTGGTGCCGGCTTGCATTTGCACAGCCCACAGGCCTCCACTGGAAAAGAAGGTGGCTTACGGGAGCAAAAGAGGAACAAAAAGATGGAACTGAAGCTGTAAGTTATCCTCTTCGTTTTGCACAAGTATTTGTCTTCCAGTTTGGACTTACCAGGTATATAAAATGCTAAACTCATGCCTGGCAACTGTATTCTTTAGCTTTTAGATTTGATTTGCACTTCTCTCCATTATCTGGTGATGGCGTTGATTCTTCTTGAGTCCATAAAGCTTTATTAGAGAACACCATCGTTCCCTTTGTGGAAGGTGCCCCTTGGGAAAGAGACTGATTTTGTGCCTCATAGTTTTTCAATAGGCTCCAAAGGAGACTTCCTTTAAAGGAGGACGGAGGTGAGCAGAGTGTGGAGTGAGAGGCAGGAACCCTAATTCCCATGGGGAGTGGGGGTTGGGTGGGAAACTAATGCTGATAACCCTCTCTGTGTGGGGCTGGAAACTGGCTCATATATGTGAATCCACTGCAGCCCTCCTCTCGGGTATTGTGTCCAGGGCTTTTAAAAATAAAGTCAGAAAATTGACCCAGAAATACCTTATAGAGAACCAGAAAATCCATGTGGTTGAGTGGAACAGCCAGGTAGGTTAGGTAAGGATGGCTCAGGGAATGGTGTGGACATGCCAGAGGAAAAACAGCAGAACTCCGAGGCTATAAACAGGAGAAGAGCAAACCCTGGGGGGTCTGGAGGAATGATCATTGATCTCTAGCTAAGACGACATTGTACTGCAGCTGGGTGACAATGGGACCTCCTGGGTAGGAAAAGAAATCCTGGTAATGAAGTAGAATATTCCAGTCATCAAGTAGTAGGTGAGGCCCTTAGAAATATCTTTTTTTGTAATGAGTTTTGGGGAACAATTTGAAGATATATGTGGCATGCTTTAAAATGTGGCCCAGGAGTGTGGACACTTTTTCACGTGGACGGGCTCCCATGTCAAACGCGGTGCTACTTGTGGGAGACACAGCGGACGCAGCTCCTTTGGTGCAGCCCCTGAGGTTGGCATCACTGTGTCCAGCCGATCGGCCTGGGCAGTCAAGGCTTCCTGGGGCATCACAACATTGACCCCAATTCCTAAGTCAGGGACTGAGGTCAAGTTCCAGATGGAGTGAATTGTGTGGTTCACTGTAATATGAGAGCACTGGGATATTTAAAATTGATTTTTGGAAATGGCCAAGGAAATGTTTTTATAAGTTTTTAAACAGAGAAATTTGAGGTTAGCCTAAAATACAATTTAATGGGGGTAAATTATAATTTCTCAACCATGAAATGGGGATGCTGGAGTAACCAATTTGAGGTGGGATTTTTATCAATAGAAACTTCCCTTTCCTGGTCTTTAGAGAGTTATGAAATTGTCCCCCTTTTCCTGTTATTTTGGCAAGTCCTTTGATGTGCTGGGGTTGGAACTGATGTCTGTCACCTGTAGGGAGGATGCGTTCAGTTCTTTTATGGGTCCTCAGCAGTATTTTTCCTTAGCAAGTGGCTTTCATTTAGGTCCCATACAGTTGTTGGTTTTCAATCCATTAAGACAGCACGGAGCCCTGGTGTTGTCAGGAGAGCGTCCTCCTAGGAGTAGGATCTAGAAACAGGATACGTGAATACTCGGGGTGCCTATTCAATTTGGGCAGCCAGTGGTGGTCTGGGTTGAAAGCTGTTTTTGATGTCTCTGAGACAGCTTGGTTGTAGCGGTCGTGTGGGTTGATTTCCACATCCATTTAGAGGTTTGGGGTTGCAGTAGGGCTGCACGTTCTGAATCTGGATCAGTGTGTCTAGGTTGCTTTCATGAGACAAGTGCTGCCCGAGCAGCGGTGGGACATGTCACTGGTATGATGTTAAATGTCTGCAGCATACGCTCCAGTTCTCATTTAAGGGCAGTTCAATTTAATTGCTAATTACCAGCCCTGTATTTACTGAAATGGCTGTCATGCTTGCTATTTTTATGAAACAGCTTACTGTAGGGCAGCTATTACTGCACGTGCTACTTCTAGTCATTGGTCCAGGCCAGTGTCATCTGCGGCTCGCTGCGCATCTCAGGCAGCTTTGCAGTGTTAGCTCTTCCTGGAAACAGCGGTCTGCTGGTAGCTAAGTCATTAGGAAGATATTCTCAGGCCCCTTCGTGCTTCAACCATCAGCCTATAAATCACACGGCACTAATTCTCCATTAAATAACAGCTTAAAACAGAACACTGTCAAGCCAGTTTATACTCCATTCTTAAATCACATAACTGAGGAAACATTTTAAGAAAATGGAGTTGACTTTTTTTCTTTTTGAATTACCATCATATAAGCCTCATTTTTTTTTTTTCTTTTCCTAAGAGTGAGCTCTGGGAACATGAATTGTTTTTTGGGCTTTAGCAGAAGATTTCTGGTGAGGTTCTGTAGAGAGGAGCGCAGGGAGAAGGTGGGGGGAGCCTTGAGTTCTTTGGCCTCTGTACTTAGAATCCTAAACAGGCGATGACTGACCCTTCCCATCCCGTGGGATCCCTGTGAATCTTGTTCCTGTTTTACTACATGGAAGTCACTCTAACTCACTGTCACCTACACAGGTAACAAGACTGCCAGTAGGTTCTGTCAGCATGAGTGTGATACGTATTACAGGCATCTTTTAGGGAACTTGGATTTACTCTATCATTTCAGAACCTGACAAGGATGATGGAAGCTCTTATGCCAGATTATAAATTTCATGGAGCTGAGGCTGTAGAAGTCTGTGCTTCTTAGTGTGTCAGCCGACTTTTTACTGGGACAAGTCTACAAAAGGCCCATTTGTAACAAGGCTCTCTTCACAGATAATCCACGTGCATTTGTCTGCAATCTGAAGAGGCATGGCAGCCGTTTCCACACTGCCTTTGGTAATGGGTAAATAATATGGCCTTTCAGAGATTTAGTGGGGTTTTTTCCCAGTCACTATGTAGAATCCTTGCAATGATGCAGCTAAATTCAATAGGAATGAAAAATACAGTATAAACTGTGGGTCATGGCCATAGCTATAAATGGAATTAACCAACTAAATAATTCAAAGCTCTAGGAGGGTATGTATGTACTTGCAAAAATTTTATAGCCTTCTTCCAGATTAGCAATAATTACAAAAAAGAAGGGTGGGGGCTCAGTTAAAACATCCTTAACTCGGCGTAAATAATGGTCTAAGTTCATTTTCCTGGCCTATCTACACCTTGATAGGAATAGTTCTCTTTAATGCATAAGCCTGGACAGAGTCAAGAAGCTCCTTCCTGGACCCAGATATCTAGAATTTAAAAGCCTAGTAAGTTGGCCATACAAGCCACTCACACAGAGGGGCCCCACAAAAGGCTATCCATTAATTTCATTTCATAAATTTAACGAACTTTTACTAAATACTTAGCCGGTGTCAGGTAGCATGCTGAGTGTTGAGGCTGGCATTCTTACCCTCCCACCAGACCCAACCAGCCAACCTCCTCAAGCAACAGGACACATGGCTTGGACCTGACCAGGCAGAGCTGGTTCAGGCTGACCTGGGGGAAAGCCAGTTTTCCAGAACATTCCCCTTCCAGCTTACAGGTGTGTGGATTGCATTGACAGATGGCAATGGCTTCACCTATGGTGCCAACTCATACATTTTAATGAGATTTGCCCCTGAAGAGCAAACCAAAGTCATACTCATGCAAAAAAGTATTTAAAACTGTATTTCACTGAGGCCCATTTATGAGCACAGCCATACTTTTAGATATTCGAAAGATATGTTTACATAACACCCTAAGAAATTCATTAGGGTGTTATGTAAACATATCTTTCGAATATCTAGTCAGGTTCCAAGTAAGATATCTGAGCTGTAGTTTGATAAATGTTTTTTATTAGCAGTTATAACATCCTAACAGTCTAATTTTCAGGATCTGAGAAATAGGCATTCAGGACCACAGGCAGCTGCTCAGAGCTGGACAACAATTAGCGTGGTAAAGACCAAGTGCTGTAATGATACTGGCACGTTTCTCGGGAAATGGTCAGTCCATAATACAGTTTGCACTTGACCTAAGTTTTGATAAACCATCTTCCTCTGGCTGCCCCTACTCCATTCAAGCCTTTGACTTAAAGTGGTCTGGAAAGTGCTTTTGCTTTCTGTAAAGTTTGATGACTAAGAAGCTAGACCTTTGGTGAAAATGGAGTTTGTAAAACAAAACTAAACCTTATTCTTACAAAACAGCAATTCCTCCAGAATCCACTGCCCGTCTGTAATTCATAGACACTTGTGAGGGGAGAGAACTGACTCTGCCTTTCTGTCTCGAAATGAGGCTTAATTAAAACAGTTTACGTTAGCCCAAGTTTTCAGTATTGTGACAGCACGTGTGAGGGGCACAAGGCTTCCTGGGTGATGGAACATATTCTCATAATTCTAAGTTTTTTTTTTAAAGTTGTTTTTTAAACCTTCATGCTTGTCTGAAATGGACCATACAACGCATTTCCTTTCTGCCTCTGCCTTTTCGGCTGGGTAAGCGGGACGCTCCTCCCATTATTCCTAGTGGGGAAGCCCTGTAATCATTAATTGTTAAACTGGCGATGGGAAGGTCTGCTTTCCCCAGGTCCCCAGCTGCCACTGGAGTGCTGTTCACGATGGAAACGCTTGTCCTCTCCTTAGGCTGGAGAATCCAGTATAAAATCAAGGCCTCCACAAGAGTTCTTCTCTTATGTATGTGAGTCTGACATGAACTTTTACAAAACAGCATTTGCAAAACTGGTCTTTAAGCATTGTGAGTCAGTGGTAACAAAGGCATATAATGAACAAACGGGGCGCCCCAGAATGATTGAGAGAAATAGTATTATTGTCATGAGAACAGGGTGAAGAGACCCAGCCTTCATGGACACACAGTTAGCTGCATCACAATTACTGTTAAAGGTCAAGATTTTGATTTACTAGTTTATAATCTTATTCTTTCCAGGCAAAACAAATCAATTTAATGTTACAGTTTATTCTTCTCTTTATCTGTTTTTGGCCTGAGGTTGGGGGGGGGGGGAGGAGACTGTCAACTGCACAATCTTTGAAGTGTAAGTTAATTTTTTATGTGATATTTCAGTATATATTTTATTCATTAAATTTATTTGAAAACTTCTGTTGTCTATTTTACAAAAAAAAAAGAAATTCATTTATTCTCAGACCTCTGCCTCAGACTTGGGACCCACTGGGAGTCGAATGAGCAGCGTCGCTTTCAGTGGCTGGGTGAACAGTACAAATACCTAATACTATGACTGACATCCTCCTGCTCTGCCCTCAGGGACCTCCCTAAACACACATATGTTCGCGCTGTGTCAATGAATTTATTTTGCTCTGTCTGCCTCTTCATTAACCTAATTTTAGGTCCGAAACACTGCATCCGGACTCTGGTGTCTGGATCGCTGCTCGTCCCCAGCACCTGCAACAATGCTGGCTTTAGGATGGGCCCAGAAACAGTTGAAGGAACTGCACAATGAAGTTTTCTTAGAAAGGTAACAGTATTTGAAATAGTATGTTTCATTTAGTTCAGAATTATTAAGTGCTAGAATGTGCTATTTCTTTACCTCTGCCGCAGCTAGAATGGAGCCATGTTGACGTCAGGACGCACACACACGGGTGAGGTTGCTGGTCTTGTAGAGGTGGCACCCCAGGGCACAGGGTCAAGTGTGCTGTCAGGCTCCGGCTTGGCACAGGGACTGGGCGAGGCTGGGACGTCAGGTCTCACAGGCTCCGGTCATGGCTGCACGGTTCTCCCTCAGACAGGGGGACCCGAATCATCTCATGGCTACAGCTTCTTCTCCAGTATCTCCTTTATCACAGTCGGATCTGCTCGGCTGAGAGTCGCTTTTCGGACCAACCCAATCAGTTTATTTATGGCTCTGGGGTTTCCCTTCTTCATGTCCATCACCTTTAAAGACAGGAGAAAATGTTTTAGAGGAGAAAAATGAAGAGACTCCTACTTAAAAACCCTACATTAAGGGGGATGTTTACTGAAACTTGTTTTTTCTTCTAATGCTGATATAAAAGGGGAGGGTGAGCTTTTGAGGAGGTTTCTAGGCTCCTGTCAAAGGCGATGTTGCTAACTCTACCTTCTGATTAAAATGGACAGAGGACTGTGAGGCACCCCGAGTGATGGCCTACAGCCAGAGAAGCTAGTGCACAGGACAAGGGCGCCCTGCTGGGCGGCAGGGACACGCGGAGCTGCCCACAGATAGGAGGAACCTCTCTGAGATGGGCGATCTGGTCTAATCAGTGCGGTGCCCTCTCATCGTCCCAGGGTGTTCAGTGGCACTGAAACGCATGGCTTTCCTTCTCTACCCACTCTCTGCCAAGAAGATCCTTTTAGTAGAGACAAGTGCACATGGTGGCCTCTGTCCCAGAGCACTGTGGTGGGTGGGATGGGGGACAACACAGGCAGAAGGTGCCGAGTTCCTATCAAATAGCCACCGACTGTCAGGGCCGCCCGCTCTGATCTCCCGCTCTGCAGCATTCTGATCAGCAGTAACATGTGAGTATTTGCACTCAGTGATGCAGAATGTCTGAAACTAAAAGTGTGTCTTTGTCAATCACTACAGATGAGGCAGGAGGGTGGAGACTGCCAAGCCCTAGTGCAAGCTTGTTCTCCTTGCCAGGAGTACAGCGCGGTTAGTGTCCCTGGAAGCTGATGGGAGGGTGGGTTTTATTCTGAAAGATGTGCTAACAATCTTTTCCCCTAGACAATATGATTAGGCTTGGGGAGGGAGGAATGCTACTCACTGTTGCTTTTCTATTTTGTTTTCTATTTGGTTCTATGCACCTAGTACAAAATTACTTGGTTTTCAGCTATGCTCCTGTCAAGGATTTTCTCCATAATTTACAAATAATTTTCCTTTCTGCCTTTCTTCGCACAGCTTAAAGGCATGAAGCTACAGTGTTTCCCTGTGTGTCTCCCCCCTCTGCAGTCATGCCTCCTGGTTTATTATTGAGAGGTGGTCCTCATAAAGCAGAGCTAGCCGCAGCCGATTCCAAGGCCAGCCCTGGAAGAGGACGGCAGGCCTGGGAGGTCAAAACTTGGATCTAGTGAGTTTAGAATAGCCCTTCAAATTGAAACTCCATGAGATTAAACTGCAGGGGTGAATGTTCCTTTTCCTTGGGAAAAGGTGTATTTTTCTAGTATTCACCTGATTTCACCTCTTGACCTTAACTAAACACTGACAAAAACACTTATGTAATTATTGATGAAACTGGGCCAGCCATTAGTAGGAAGTGCCTCCGGGCCGCCACAGGGAGCAGGGGAGAGGCGGGCCCTGGGCCGTGTCTGCAGGCGGGCCCTCTGCTGGCCAGGAGGGCGGTCCCTCCAGCTGCGCAAGAAGGCGCTCTTCACCCTGTGGGGAATTACCACTTGCGGATGCTCCTCCATTGTGGCCTGGCAAAGCTGTTCCAGTGTCTCTCGATCCTGCAGCAGTCCAAGCTCTTTTTCTGAAACAATATGCGCTGGAGTCTTCCCTTTGCTCCTCCACAGTTCCTCAAACACCTACAGGCCAGAGGCAGGAGAGAGGGACAGGGAAGCAAGAAGTCAGCTCCACTTGCTGCAGCTGGGGCAGGCCGAGCAGGTGCTGGTGGGCTCAGCCCATAGGTGCCCTGCCTCCCTCCCGAGGCGTCCGGAAGGAGGCTGAGCCACAGGGCAGCGTGCAGACACCCGAGGCTCTGCCTGCTGAGCTGCTCCCTCAGAGCAGCAGGAGGCCGCACCTGCAGCGACAGGTAAGCCCTACTGGCTGACTCAAACCACAGGGCAGGGAGGGGCTGGGGGAGGAGTGAGAGGATGACTCTCAGGGCTCCTGCTGACAGGATTCCGTGGGCCAGGCACAGCTCTGTCTCCCATTCACTGAATTACTTGAGATGACATTTTGGTGAAGGATGGAACCATACAGGCTGCAGAAGGTAGTAACCACTGCACTTACATGAGGTCCAGAAAACTCGGCCTGCTGGGAAACATGATTTTAGGGGAGCAAGAGAGTGGCCTCATAATGAAGAAACAAAATGGAAAATAACTGAAAACATAAATTATAATCCACAGGGACCCCAGTCTACCACCATTATCCCCTACAGGTGGGGCTGGCCCCAGATCTGGCTAGGATGACTAACAGTTAAGGGTGTTTATACTTAATGGTTTTTCTACTTAAAAAATGATAACAAATCCCCAAACTTATCAAAGTTGGAAGACAGAAAATATTTTTGAAGAAAGCATTTCCTAGTGTAGTTTTCCTTATTCCTCTTAATTTTCTCACGTAAGCTGGAAGGGGGTGGTTTTCCGGTCTCCTGCTGCACCTCCTTCATCTTAGCCTGCAGTCAGTACTGAGCACTGAGCACCCGTGAGACCACTGCAGAGGAGGATGGGCCAGCCAGGAGCCTTTCCTCCCGGGAAAATCGCTGGTCAATAATTAGCACATAGGACTTCCAGTCAAGATGGCGGAGTAGGTAAAAGCTATGCTCGCCTCTTGCCACGACCGCATCAAAATTACAACTCAATTATTAACAACTATCCCTGAGAGCCAGCTGAAGACTAGCTGAACAGAAGTCCTATAGAGAAGTCACATTGAGACTGGTAGGAGCAGCAGAGACATGGAGTGGGCAGGTCCCACACCCAGAGTGTGGCAATTAATCAGGAGGGATATCTCAGCTGTGGTGGTCCCCTCTGAAGAGCAAGGGGTCCCAGCCTGTGGTACCTCTGCCGGGAACAGGAGTCCCTACCTATTCCATCTGGCTGTAAAAACCCAGCAGGGATTGCATCTGAGTGAGACGGAGGGCTGCTGGAGGCTGAGGCAGTCCTCTTGAGCAGCCCATGCATGGACTCTCGCTCACAAACTCACTCGCTCCAGCTCAGGAGCAGTAGCTCAAAATGCACCAGGGACATATGGGGAGAAACTGCACTGACTGGCTTTAGGGCTGGAGGAGCAGGGGTGATGGCAGCTCTCTCTGGGGACAGAAGTGCTAGCAGGCACCAATGCTCCTTTGTTGAGCTCTTCTCCCACCCAGCCAGCCTGGTGCAGGTGGGCGCCAAATCTGAGCGCTCCATTAACCTGGCTAACATCGCTCACCCTGCTCTGGTGATTCCCTGAGACCACGACTTACCCAACTCGCTGGCCCACCTGAGCCACTTCCAGTGGCTTTTCCATACAAATGGCCTGCCTCAGGTCATGCCATGGATTTTCCTAGTATCTGTTAAAGGTCAACAAACCATGGCTGGCCTTGGCATGCTCTGTACCTCTTGCTAAGTGGCCCCAATCCTGACACAAGTAGCGATCAGTCTTGGCTTGAAACATAGCTGCAACTAAGGCACATGTGGTGCCCACCAAAAGGTCCCAAGCCCAGGATAAGTGGCAGCCGGCCTGGGTTCACAGTATACCCTCTTCCAAGTGCCTCCAAGCCCAGCAGAAACGACAGCTGACCTTGGCCTGCACCGGAGCCCCTCCCAAGAGGCTCTAGAAACAACCCACCCAGTGTCCAGCTTCAGATCGCACCAGAGCACCACCCAGCCAGCTCCACAAATGACACCGAAGGGCAGACTGGGCTGGCACCAGAGCCACGCTAAAGTGACATTTGCTCTGTGGGGTCAGCCCCGACATAACAGCCCCAGAATAGCCAAAGCAACCTTAAGAACAAAGTTGGAGGTATCCCTCTACCTGATTTCAGGCTGTACTCCAGAGCTATGGTGGTCAAGGCAGTGTGGTACTGACACGGGGACGGATGTGTGGATCGGTGGAGCAGAGTGGAGAGCCCACAGGTAAGCCCACACCTACATGGTCGACTGGTCTGACAGTGGAGGCAGGGTTGTACAGTGGGGTAAAGACAGTCTCTTTGTGGATGGTGCTGGGAAAGCTGGACAGATACATGCAGGGAGTGAGGATGGACCACTTTCTTACACTAGATGGAAGAATAAACTGAGATTGGATTGGGGACTTAGGGGTAGGGCCTGAGACCATGAAGCTCCTAGAAGAAAACACAGGTAATAAACCCTTTGACATCACTCTTAGCAATATTTCTTGGTTATGTCTCTTTGGGCAAGGGAAACAAAAGAAAAAATAAACAAATGGGACATTAAACTAAGAAGTTTTTGCACAGGAAAGGAAACCTACAACAGAACAAAGGGATAACCTACAAAAAGGGAGAAGATATTTGCCAATGTTATGTTCCACGAGAGGTTAACATCCAAGATATATGAGGAAGTCAAAGAACTCAACACCAAAAATAAATAAATAAACAATCCAATTGAAGAATGACCTGCATAGGCACTTCTCCTGAGAGGATATGCAGATAGCCAACAGACCTAGGAAGGGATGCTCGGCGTCGCTGGTCATCAGGGAAATGCAGTTAGCGCCACGGTGAGATTCACCTCACATCTGTCGGAATGCTTATCATCAACAAAGTGCTGGCGAGGATGTGGAGGGAGGAACCCTCGTGTACTGTTGGTGGGGCTGTAAACTGGTGCAGCCACTGTGTAGGGCAGTGTGGAGGGTTCTTAGAAAAATAGACACGGACTGCCATACATGACCCAGTGGTTCCCCGTCCGGGTACTTATCCGGAGGCCCAAAACACTAATTTGAGAGGATGTGTGCACCCCATGTTCATTGCAGCATTATGTATAATAGTGAAGATAAAGAAGCCACCTAGGAGTCCATCAATAAAGATGCAGTACAAATAAATAATGGAATATTACTCAGCCATAAAAAAAAGAATGAAATCCTGCCGTTTGTAACAACCTGGATGGACCTAGAGGGTATTATGCTGAGTGAAATAAATCAGACAGAGAAAGACAAATACCATACGATTACACTTATATGTGGAATCTAAAAAACAAAACAAACAGACTCATAGACACAGAGAACAAATTGATGGTTGCCAGATGGGCGGGAGGTGTGGGGGCTGGGTGAAAAGGTGAAGGGATTAAGAAGTACAAATTGGCAATTATAAAAATAGTCAGAGATGTAGAGTACAGCTTTGGGAATATAGTCAATAATATTGTAATAACTGTGTATAGTGTCAGATGGGTACTAGACTTACTGGGGTGATCACTTTGCAAGGTATATAAATGTCCAATCAGTATGTTGTACACTTGAAACTATATTATATTGAAAAATTCACTGAAAAAGTAACTGAAATATTAAAAACAAATTAGCACATAGAGCAAAGCAAATGAAGGGGGATATGCTCGGAGTCTCAGCAGGGCTCAGCGTTTTCCCCAGTCTGGCCCGAAACAAACTACAAATATTTATCATGGCTGTGCGAGGTAGTGCGCCTCCAGCCCAGCTGTCTGAAGACCCACAGAGACTGTGGCCAAGAGGTGTCCATCGTGGGTCCTTCTGTCAGCTCCCTCGCAGGGCGCCCCTCTGGCTACCACCAAACAGCCCTGGGTGCTTAGGGAAAACCTGTCCCTCCTCTTAGAAAAATACAGAACATACAGGCCTTCAACTCAGTTCTTCAAGTATTTAGTCAGCCCGACAATGAGTTAAGGCATGTAGAGAGAGGGGGCACAAAAGCAGGTGAGAGCTTTCCCTGCCCTCAACAAGCGTATCAATGGGGAATGGGAGAACCGAGCAGTCTACAATGCGGAGCGTGCTCAAGGGAGCTGCCAGAAGCAAGTCTGAAGGATTCTTGCCTTCTTTCCCTGATGTATTTTTCTTGAACTAAGACTTAAAAACATTGTTTCTCATTATGAAATAGTTAATATATGATCGCTGTAAAAAATACGGAAATATAGAGGAGATAAGTGTCTCATCACCTGTACTCCCATTCCCTCAAGATAAGCAGTGTTAGCATTTTGGCGTTTTCCTGTCCTATCTTTTCTGTTTTGCACCATAGTTGTGATCATAATGTACAGACAATTTGCGACCTGCTTATTTCACTTATTACAGAAGTGCTTTCTTACTATTAAAACCCATCTCTATCAAATGTATTTATCATAATTTAATTGAATTACCCCCTACTGTTAGGTATTTAGGCTTTGACCAATGTTAATTTTGTTCATCTCTATAGTCTCCTAAAAAAGTTCCTAGTTGAAAATGTCCAACATTCAGGAAGAGAGAGAGCTAGATCTCTGGCTCAAAACGGAAATCAACTGCAAGGAGTGGCTCAAAGAATCCATGCAGCAACCCTTTCTAGGAAGAGGAAGACAAAAGCACAGCAGCCATGGCCTTACCGCCTGGGCCTGGAAACAGGCATGCCTGCCAATCACGGGCCACTCCCAGGCCCACGTCACTTCTGCTCCCGCTGCAGCTGAAAGCACAGAGAGGACCTCAGCGGCTGACTAGGGTGTCAGCCTTTGCCTGACACCTGATACAGCTGGGACCCCACAGGCTCAAGAACCAGAAGAGGTGATGTGAGGCAGCTCAGGATCCCTGCCAAGCCACACCATTCAGAGGGAGAAGCAGGACAACGCCAGGACGGATGCTTTTAAATGCAGAGGGCTGGCTGCTCTCTGAGAAAGCGCGCTGGGTGGGGGTACAAAGGAAGGGACCCTAGAAAAACACTTCAGTG